AAAAAAGTACTCATAATTTATTTTGTTTCCAGATTTTTCTTCCATCTCTTTTTCCCCAATATTCTTTCAAAATCATACCCCAGCAAAAAAAAGACATTGACAATCATTTTGACTATTTAACTAATTACAATTTTATTAAAATAAATAATCATTATTACACAAACTAGAAAATTTTTAAAATGTATTAAATATGGAGTGGAGTATTTCAGATAAATAAAGAGGTTTTGTCCCCATTTGCAATGACCATTTATAAGTCCATATACTCTCTGGACATTCAAGAGGGCGAAGTAAATGATTTGGTACATTCTACTACTAAAAGGTATGGGTCTTTCAATTCACACCTATTGAGAAAAAAACTGCCAAAATGCTTAAATTTCAATAAAAAGAAACCTATTTTTCACATATTTTCAAATAACTATTATTTAATGGAGTTCCTAGGTCAGCATTAAGCCCATATGTGAAAATATTTTCACATATTTTCAGGGATAAGCGTTGAGCCCGTTTCTCTTTTTTTTTGGGTTATATACGAGTTAACTAGGTATCTACAAGATAATGTCTCATGGTATATGTTATTGTGTTTGTGGATGACATAGTTTTGATTAATGAGACTAGAGACGATGTAAAAGCAAAGTTAGAATCTAAAGATATTTAAAATTTGCCGGACTAAGCCAAAATATAGTAATAATAAGAGCAGAAATAAGAAATTAATTAAGATTAAAGACAAAGAAGTACCTAAAAGAAATCATTTTGGATATCTTGAGACAATAATCCATGAGAAAGGAGAGGTTAAGGAAGATGTTGCTTATAAAATTAGAGACGGACGAATGAAGTGAAGATGTGTTACTAAAGTCTTATGTGATCGTCGCATACCAATAACACTAAAAGGAAAGTTCTATAGGACGGCTATAAGACCAGCTATATTTTACGGGATGGAATGTTGGGCAGTCAAGGACTAACATATCTGTAGAATGACTGCAGCTGAGATGAGGATGTTAAGATGGATGAGTGACAAGATAGGGAAGGATAGAATTCGAAATGAATGCATTAGAGGGAACTTAGAGGTAGCTCTCATAGGTGATAAAAATAAGGGGAAAGTAGACTTGGATAGTTTGGCCATGTGCAATGTCGACCTAAAGCAACACCAGTTAGGAGGGTGATTTGATTCAAGTGGAAGATGCTAAAAGGGCAAGGGAAGGTCCCAAAGGACATAGAAGTAGTAAGAAAAGATACAATGACTTGTGGCCTGACTGATGATATGGCCATTGATAGAGCAGAGTGGTAGAACAAGATTCGTGTAACTAACTATGTTCAAGTATAAGGCTCTAAAAGGGTAAGGGAAGGCCCCAAAGGACATGGATGAAAATATTAGAAAAATATATGGTGACTCATGGTCCAACATTGATAGAGTGGAATGACAGAACAAGATTCGTATAGCTAACCCCAAATAGTTGAGATAAAGCACAAACGATGATGATGATGATGATTTAGTGGAGTTCTGGACCTTCCAAATGAGGGGCCTTTTAAACAACTTACATGAAGGAGTGGGGGTGTCTAGGTTTGTTTAGAAGTTCCTAGTAAAGTTTGAAAAGAGGTTGAAAGAAAATATAGAAAATATAAAACATCAAAGAAAAAAAGGATCAAGAAATTGGAGAGACCCAAGATTAAGAGATTGTCTAGAAACCAAAATGAAATTGAAGCCCAGTAAAATAAAGAATCTAGCAAGCACATGCGATGGCTACAAATATTATTTAACTATG